CAGTTGGAATTTAACGAATTCTTCAGTTTTACTTTAAGCCAGGTTTCAATCAAGTAAATTATCATTTCCTTGGGAACCTAATGCACAACTTCTATCCGCGTCCGGAGTGACCATTGTTATTGATACCGTCCATCTCTACAGACATTGGTGTTCCGCTGTGCTTTTGGTAGGATTGGGAGTTATGAGTTACGAGTTGATTTGGGTTATCTTCAAGGCACTCCAGACAAGTCCACATGTGCTCAGATTCCCCCTATAACATATACATCAGCGTCCCGCGGTTGATAGTCCCAGTCCTATGTTGGTTGACAAGACTTTTCGTGCGTCTAGTGTTCTTCTCGTGCCTGGCTGTGCCGATTTCTACTCTGTACTTTACTTGCGAATCACAACGCATGGCGACAGTAAATGGGACAAGCACGACCAGCTGGCACTTGTCCTTTTCACAGCACAAAGCCTGAGTAGTATTGAAGAGATAAATTGGTGTGCCCTGCAGCACCAAGTGGAGGGTAATACCACATCGTTTACCCCCCCCCCCCCCCCCCTCCCGTGTGGGTTCCGGAACCCCACTGTGGGGGGAAAAAATAGGCCCACTGCCGCCCTGACAAGCATGTCATGAGTCGGCTAACTGCGGGTTTTCTTCGAAGTCGGAATGCGCCTGCCTGACAGGCAAGAAACAAACTGTCTGCATACAGGTAAGTCAGATCTGTAAAACGGATGTGCACGCAACACTCGGATTCTGGAACACAGGTGGATGAACAACCAGAACTTTCCGTGGGAGTTTACAGCCGCTGAGAGCAAAGAAGGAGAAGACCAGTACGTTTGAAAACAAAGCTTGCTGCAGAAGCTACCGGATCAGAAGAGCTGCCCTTCCGATTTCCTATCAGAGCTTTCCTCCGACATTAGCTGCCAACCAAGGCTTAATGCTTGGTCTTCCCGGTCTTAACATACAACTTTGAGGTTGCATATGATTAACATCCAAACCCATCAGGACCGCACAACGAGCGATAAACAACCGGTGACACAAAGTGCCATTATTCGGGTACAAGTCCTAGAAACCCCGTTTAACCGCTAGGCTATATTCGGGTCCCCGACCGGGCTGGGGTTTCAAATTACCGAAAAATTGCGACCTATACTGGGGTGGGGATAATGCAAGTTGTATATCCTTGTTCTAGGATAAAACCGTAACGATAATTCAATGAAAAACTCATAATTCAAAGCTAGCAACAACAGATCATAGACTTCTCTTGAAAACGACACCAAACATCTGAAAGGAAACTATCTCTATGCAAAACCCGTCTTCTGAAAGCCCAAATGAGTCCAAGAAAACTGTCCCATTTCAGTGGAGTCTCTCAATTTGTGAGTTATTACCACTGGCTTACAATTCCCAAACTGGCAGTTTTTCTGTTTACGATGAAAGCGATGACGTCATCAAGAATGCAGCTGGCTTATTTTCGACCATTTAGATGCCAAACAAATAATTTTGCTGGCTTAGAATGGCCGAAGAGAAAGAAAGAAAACAGCTCGTATTCTTGACCTGATTATTAATATGCGGAAATTCCTGCTTCGCGCGGAATGGATTGTATATAGTGTGCCTCTAACCTTGTTCAAACAATTTGCGCATGGAATCCCATTTTTGTGTGTGGGTCAAACATGATCTTGGCTCATAGGTCGGCCCACACTTAGATGGGTAGGTAGTAGGTAAAATTTGGGGAAAGTAAAGGTGACCGGCGTGGTGTTAATCCTCACCCAAAGAGGGCGGTATATAAATATATAAGTCTAGGCTCCCATGCTCGATGCGCCACAGGGGTGTTTAAAGACCTTTACTTACTTAGTGACACTAGCACTAGGGGGCTGCGTGGTCTCGAGGCATGGTGTCCGCTCCGAATGCTAGAGGTTCCGGGTTTAATCCCCGGTAAGGGTTGGGATTTTTTCACGTGGACTTGGACTACTATTAATTCCCCCTGGTCTCTTGGTAGTGAGATTGGACGCCCGTGTGCAATGTTGCGCACGTAAAAAATCCCTTGGCAGTTGGAAATCGAAAAGAGTAGCTTAACGGCGCTGCCCAGACAAAGATTTGGAGTTAAAACTCTACGCAAAGTATTTCAGGATTCTCGCCCGTGTTACAGAGCCTGTGCACTTTGCTGAGTTTCTTTGGACTCAGACTTGAGTTAGAAGAAGAACGGAGCACTTATGGGATATTGTCACTGTGCCATGATGTTCATCAATTGTTCAAAACCTCATAACAGCTTCACATTTACCTTCATTAGGCTTGTCCCATCCTTATTTACTGTTTTAATGATTCTATTTTGGGGGACATGTTTTCTGCTTTATTTTCTTTGGACACGCTTCGTGAACAGCCATCTGTTACAAGTTATTTTTGTCTCGTGTATTGCCAATACGCTGGAATTACTTAAAAAACTTTCTTGCATTTGCATTTCAATCTAGATCATAATTTTATCTCTCAGTGTTTCATATAACTTTATTTGTTCAGTCTCTTTTTTTCCCTGCATTTTCTTCGCAAACTGATTCAAGAATCTACAGATTAGCACACCGCACATATCAATAGGTGCTCAGTCTCCCGCAGCAAATGTTTTGACGTGTAGATGCTAGCTGTTCAAGTAGTACTTGATTACGCATTTCTTGTTCTCTTCTAGTCAAACTTCCCTCCTTGCCTGATCCGCAAATAATTCCTTGCTCACACATTCTTACACGTGTTGTCTCTATGTAACCTATCTTTTCTATTAGCATTCTCCTTCTTCTTCGCGATCACCAGCTGTAAATTCTGACGGAAAGTTGTTCTGGTTGTTTTTCCACTTCTGGACTGCAGTTCTGTTCCAGAACCTGTGTGTTGAGCGTGCATCCGTTTTACAGATCTGACTCATTTGTATTCAGACTGCTGGTTCCTTGCCTCTAGTTTACAGCTATTGGACGCGAAGAAGAAGAAAAAGATAGATTGACACAGAGAGAGAGAGAGAGAAAGAGAGAGAGAGAGAGAGAGAGAGAGAGAGAGTGAGTGAGTGAGTGAGAGAGTGAGAGAGAGAGAGAGCGAGCGAGAGAGAGAAAGAGAGAGAGAGAGAGAGTGAGAGAGAGAACCGCGTACAGAGTAGAGAGTAAGACATTAATTAAGTGGCCATTAATGAATCAGTTGGGCCATCTGACAAGAATGCCCTGGTATCATTTACAGCAAAGTTACCGTTGAATAAATATAATGCGCTGGCAGCAAAGATAACACCGCGCAAAAGATGGGACAGCGACATCATAACTAATTTTGGAGAAAAAAAAAAAACCCGACTAACTCAAGGCAATTAGAAAGAGCACAACAAAGACCATTCCTTTTCCCTTCCAAACAATTATCTGAGGCAAGTGAAGGATGAGCAGAAAGAGAAAGGGAGGAGGAGGAGGAGGAAGAAGAATGTGATTTCCACCTTTTCTTGTAAAACGAAGAAAAGGGGAAAAAATGAAGAAAGGAGGAAGGAATGGAAAAAGAAGAAGAAGAAAAAGAAGAAGATGATGATGATGATGATGATCTGGGATTCACCCCTTCGTTTGTGAAGCTTTCTTAAAGAATTTCAAGTATTTTATTGTTAACAAACCCCAACTAACTGCAACAGGGAGTTGAGATAGAAGACTGTTTACTGGAGAGAAAAAAAATTGCATCTAGCAAACAGAAGGCGATTTGAATTTCTGATTTCCGTGATCGGATTTGTCATTCAAAAAATGTAGTTCCCACAAACACACACAAACGAACACACACAGACATGCAAACAGAAACATTCAAATGTATACATACACATTTTCAGAACAATGTTGATAGCACAATGTACACATCCCACTTCGCGAACATTGGAGCGGAGCAGGGATTTCCACGTAATAATCCTCAGGTCAGGAATAGGAACAATACAACATTGCTGTCTTTCTTTTCTCTCTCCGGTCATCTTAAGGCATGAAAATTAAGTGTTTGGCACTAAATGGTTGAAAATCGCTGGCTTTATCCTAGACAATGACGTCATCGCTGTCATCATAAACAGATAACTGCCAGATTGGGAATCTTAGCCAATGTTAATTCACAGACTGAAAAGGGCCGGTTGTCCGGGAATTATCTAAACTTTGGAGGACGGATTTTTGTAAAGAAATAGCTGTTTTCCTTTGTCATAACAATGTGTCATTTTATGTGCAGTTTATGTTCTTTTGTTGCTTGTGTCAGAGACGAGTTTTCATTTGAAATATCATTTCCTTGTGGGTTGCAAGGCCTCATTTTGTGAAAGACAGCACCTTATAAGGTAAAGAATTTAAAAATGTATTCAAAGGCTACTATTTTGGCATTTTTCTTTGAAATCGGACTGCATCGGCTTTAGAGGTTAGAAACCAACCATCTGGACAGACTTGTCAGATTTGTAAAACGGATGTGCACGCAAAGCTCAGGTTTTGGAACAAGAATTCATTCGAAACGTAAATGAATAACTAGAACTTTCTGTCGGAGTTTACAGCTGGCAAGCGCTAGAAAGAAGAAGTAACTATGGTAGGAAGCTCAAAGAAAAAAAATAGGGGGAGGGGAGGGGAGGAAAAAACGCCCACAGGTACGACCCAAAGTTCAAGTAACAGTTAATATGAACACAACAGCAGCAGGAGCAACAGCAACAACAACAGCAATGCCATTCACCGTCAAATTTTTTAAATACGAACATCTACCTACCTTAATCACGTTTCCATCGTGTGATTTCTGCTCTTTGGCTGCCGACATCATCTTAAGAGCCATCCAGGCAATTTGTTGAGCATGGTATTGACTAGGTCTATGGAGGCCACCAGCCACACAATAGGCGTCTCCAATCGTTTCTATCTGGAAGGTAAAGCGGGAAAAATCAGCTCAGGCATGTTGATTTGGCTTTTTGATCAATATTATCTCATTTTACATTCAATATAAATAGTTTCCTTATATTTAGACTATTCTTCTTCTTCAGCATTTCGAGGCCTTGATGTTCACTGTTGCATCCATCACCCGCCTCCATTCATCTCTCTGGTTAGCCTTCTCTTTCCAGTTGGCGACACCAAGTACCTGCAGGTCTGTCTAAACATTATCTCTTCATCGTCTTCTTGGTCTGCCTCGTGGTCTACCACCATTCATGTCTCTTGTGTATACAGTTTTTACTTTCTCTGTCATCTGACATTCTTTCAATATGCCCCAACCATTTAAGTCTATTAGCTCTTATGATACGAATATTACATCTCCCCCTGACACTTCGATGAAGTACAAGGTGGAAGAAGAAAAGAAGAAGAAGAAGCTCTTATGATGCCAGTAATCAGTGGTGATTTAAACAAATCTGACTATGTCGTAAATAATTTTTTTTTTAAATCTGTAGACTGATTAAGACCCCCCTACACCTCTTCCCCCCCCCCCCCGACTGTAGACCAAAAAACTCAAGTAAAGACCATGCTCGCTGGCGTCAGTTTGGGAGCGGCTTACAATGTTAAACTTCTTGTTTAAACTGGTGCTCGTCAACATTTGTACACCCTCGCCCCACCAAAACAGGGGACATTGCTTCGCGGCCCACTAAAACAGGGGACACTGCTTCGCGGCCCACTAAAACAGGGGACACTGCTTCGCGGCCCACCAAAACAAGGGACACTGATTCGCGCGCACACACACACAAACGCAGAGACACACGCACAAGGACTCATACAAATACACACAGATCAGTAACATTCAATCATCCCTGTTTTTTGCCCAAAGTAACAAGACTAATACAAGAATTATTAACACGTATTTTTAATTCTGATATTAACAAATGTTAGTGAAAGTTGTAGAGAGCCACTAGAGATTTGGGACGGTAGTTGCCTGCATTCGAAAACAAATGCCGAAAGAACTGACAAACATTAAACAGCGTGAAGTTAAGAAACGCGAAAAAGATGAGAAGAAATACCCCTAGTATCAACAGTTACAAGATAAAGAAGACTGCAATATATTGGACACACGATGAGAAGCGAGCACAAAATCACGATACAGTCACTGAAATAGAAAACAAATGAACTGAAGAAACGAGGACGTCCAAGACAAATCCCAAAATGAACTCGGTCGAGAGAGGTTAAATTTGTTGGAGTAGATTACATCCTTAACACTTTGGAAACGGAGCCTAATTTAGAGTTGATTGCCAAGAATGCGGAATTTCAGGAAGGATTCTCTAAATCTGGAAAAACAAAATTTAACCCCACTCCCCCCCCCTCCCCCCCACCTCCCCAAAAAAAATATTCATTAACATATCTAGAAACACAAAAAAAAAAAAAAAAAAAATTATTCTTTCAGGAAACTGAATGATTTAGCACGATCTTCAAGAATTACATTCAGTGACATGTAATTTTTTTTTTAAATTAGCTATGCTGATTTGCATATTTATGCATGCTTTTTCACTTAGCATAACCATAACCAAATTTAAGAATATGGGTAAATTTTCTGCCGACTGAAACTTGAATAAGTCCTAACACTTTTGTCTGTCTTCGGAAACAGACAATGGGGGCAATGGAGACACTCCTGACACATGGTTCTACTCCTGCCCCCTGTCATACTCTGGGGCTACGACGCAACATTCCTTTTCATCATTATTGGGTTCACGTAACACAGAGAAAAAAAAAAAAAACGATGTAAAATTACGGAATGCAAAAAGCTTTCATGATAGCCACCATTGATCAGCCCACCTATGACAGAAAAGCGAGAAGCATTCTGTTTGGCCGGTACAAAGTCCAGCCAGCCAATCTCAAGGCTTATATTACTGGGCCGACAGAGCAGCCCAGCCGTCTTTTTGGCTGTCTTGCTTTCGGGCCTAATCCCAGTCGTCTCCAAAGAGTTAATGTCCAAGGATTTTACAGGACAGAAAGGAATGGATGGAATAGTCTGCGAGTCATATGTGACCTATAACGGCACAAATGGATGAAATTGATGAATGCAAAGATGCCGATACGGCTACTGTAACTTACAACGATTTGCTTGAAAGAAGCTCATGAAAGTAGATCTCTATATACAACAATAAGGAAGAGACAAACCCTGTTCTTTGGCCACATAATGAGAAGAGAGACACTGGAGAACATCGTGGCAACTGGAAAGATCGATGGGGGGGGGGGGGGGAGGGGGAACGGGTAGACCAAGAGAGATGATGCTGGATGGGCTGAAACGATGGCATGGAGGAATATCATCAAGATTGCTGTTCCAGGCAACCAGGGACCGTGATGTGTGGAGACGCATGAGCGCCTACGCCAGTTGGCAGGACACATGATGATGAATTCAGAGATGCCGATGGAGCATACTAACCTTGTAGACGTCGATGTCCACACAGAACTGGTCGAAGTGGGTGTACAGGGAGTTGAGCATGTCAACAACCTGCATGGGAGTGGCCGTGCTGCAGATGGCTGTAAATCCCACAATGTCGCTAAAAAGCATCGTCACATCATCGACTGTTGTCGGCTCCACTTCTTCACCTGAATCACAAAGAAGGCACCGGAATTATAATTAGGGTACTTAAATAATATAAGAAAGCTGGCAGCCGGCGTGATGTTATAACAAAACTCGCCTAGTGCCTATTGGTATACTACAAATATTAGTACAGAATCATAAGCCACGTACATCCGGGAAGTTAACTTGGTCAACAAATGCTTGATGAAGTCGGATGTGTCGGCCGAAAGGCGAATACATCACAGCTCTCCTGTAAAAAAGCACAATACAATTACGTCACTCGGACAAATGACAGAAGATATGTCACGTGCACAACTGCCGCAAAAAAGCCCTTTACTTCCTTGCTGTCATATAAAGGCTTCATGATGTGGTCCCCAGAAATGGCCGACAGGCGTTTGTCAGTAAAAGACTTGTTTCATGCCCTGGGCGGGAAAATGGAAAGAAGAAGACGACGATGAAAAAGAAGGGAATGAGATAAATAGGTGCATGAATAAAAAAACAAAGATAGAAAGGTGACGAGGAAGAGGATAAGAGAACGGAGACAGAAGAAAAAAAAAGGAATAAATAGACAAGCAGGAAGACTGTGTGTTACCTCTCCAGAGCTGCTGTGCAATCTTTGGCGGGAATATCTCCAACAGCAGGTCAACGTTCTTCTGCTTCTCCAGGTCCACAGCTTTGCTAGCTGCCTCAATGCTTCTCTTCAGCTGCTCCATCCGCTTCTTTAGCCCGTCCTATGAGCAAACATATCAGTTATATACTTTAGCCCGTCCTGTGAGCAAACATATCAGTTATATACTTTAGCCCGTCCTGTGAGCAAACATATCAGTTATATACTTTAGCCCGTCCTATGAGAAAACATATCAGTTACATACTTTAGCCCGTCCTATGAGCAAACATATCAGTTATATACTTTAGCCCGTCCTATGAGCAAACATATCAGTTATATACTTTAGCCCGTCCTATGAGCAACCGTATCAGTTATATACTTTAGCCCGTCCTATGAGCAAACATATCAGTTATTTCCTTAGCCCTTCCTATGAGCAAACATATCATTTATATACTTTAGCCCGTCCTATAAGCAAACATATCAGTTATATACCTCTCCTATGAGCAAACATATCAAATATGTCGGAAAGAGATTACTTTACTTTCATTTTCAAATGTATTAGTCAAGTGAGTAAATCATGTTTCTACGCCGTCAGGTGTATTGAGCATATAAGGCTAAATCTATATTTTATCTAGCATTCCGCACTCGTGTGATGTTGACCACAAAGGGTTACGGATGTAATCTATTCCAGCAAACTCTAGCCTCTCTCGACCGTGCTCATTTTAGGATTTGTCTTGAACGTCCTCGTTTTTTCTGTTCATTAGTTTTCTATTTCAGTGACTGTTCGTGATTCTGTGCTCGCTTCTGACTGACCGTGTGTCCAATATATTGTGATCTTCTTTGTCTTGTAACTGTTGATACTAGGGGTAATTCTTCTCATTTTTTTCGCGTTTCTTAACTTCACGCTGTTTAATGTTTGTCAGTTCCTTCGGCATTTGTTTTCGAATGCAGGCAACTACCGTCCCAAATCTCTAGTGGCTCTCTACAACTTTCACTAACATTTGTTAATATCAGAATTAAAAATACGTGTTAATAATTCTTGTATTAGTCTTGTTACTTTGGGCAAATACTAGGGATTATTTATTGTTCCTGATTTGTATGTATTTGTATGCGTCCTTGTGTGTGTGTGTCTGTGCGTTTGTGTGTGTGTGTGTGCGTTTGTGTGTGTGTCTGTACGTTTGTTTGTGTTGAAAATGCAAAAGTGAATATGTGTGTATGGGTTTGTCTTCTTCTTTTACTTCCCATGAACCCAAATAATTCCCATTTAAGGCTGAGTCGACCTGAAAGCCAGGTCATTTTTGAAGAAGAAGAAAACTTTGTTAGGTCCTGAATCCACGACCTCCCGATCCGCAGGAGAGCGCTTTACATGCCAGTAAGTCATCATCATCATCATCATAAACCACTTCTGCCGTTAAGTGACGTGGGGAGAAATAATCTGCGATCCAGTGCACGTTGGCTGCCACTGGCTATTGTCATGCCGTGAAGGCGTAGAGTGTCTTTAATGTTGTCGATCCATGTTTTCCGCGGCCGTCCTCTTGCATTTGTTGCTGATCTTCTGAGACGTAGTGCTTGTGATGGTATTTGATCTTGCTGCATTCTAACGAGATTGCCAAACTACTTGATCTGCTGTTTCTCGATGAATCTAGTACAATGTGTCATTCCCACAATTTGCCTGATAGTTTCATTATTCACTCGATCTCAGATGGTTAGGTTGGCTGCTTTTCTTAGGCACCTCATCTCGCAGGTGGTGATTTTGCGTATATGGGTTTTAGATTGTGTCCATGTTTGGCATTGGTAGCTTAATGTAGGAATGAATATGCTTTCGTTTACTCCGCCATCTTCTCTGTAAGTCGCTGATATATTTAGCCCAGTCTTACACTTATATGCTTTCTCATCAACTTCATCTTAGAGTCAGATGTATAGACACGTAGCTGACAGATTTCAAAGACACAGTATTACAGAACCCAACAACTCTGCCAACAATCTTTTCTGATCCGCACGGCGCAGACAGGTCCGGGGTTGATTAAACAGTTGATTCCAGCCGTCTTCAGAAGGAGAATAGCCTGACTTGTGTGTCATCACGTTCTTCGCCGGCCTCCTGGGTCATCTGTTGACCGACAGGAAGTCCTAGTGTCAGATCTTCGTGCTGGGAAGACCAGACATGTTGGAAATGTGACACGGGACGACTTGGTATCGTTGTGTCAGTTTTTTTTTTTTCTCCAGTGGATCTGAGGGTTGTCTTTATCATTATCATCATCATCATCGTCATCATCTTCAGCAGCTCCTTCCTTCATTCATTCTACCGTCTCTCCCTTGCTTTCTTTATTCTTCTTTTTTTCCTTAGTTCCCTCCTTCGTTATTCCGTTCTTCTACTTCTTTCCTTCCTATTAATTTTCATAATTTCTTCTTTTCTTAACTTCCCCCTCCCACCCTTCTTCTTTCTTCCTTGCTTCCTATTCTTCCCTGTATCTTGTTCTCCTCCGACTCCTACTTCTTCTTCTTTTTCTTTTTCTTCTTCTTCTTCTGCTTCTTTTTTCTTTCTTTTCTTTATCTTTTTTTCTTCTTCTTCTTCTTCCTATTCTTCTTCTTCTTCTTCTTCTTCTTCTTCTTCTTCTTCTTCTTCTTCTTCTTCTTCTTCTTCTTCTTCTGCGTTTCGAGCCCATGAGGTTCAACGCTGCATATATTACTGGTTTACATTGGTCTCTGTGATAAGCTCTCCCTGTCCAACTGGTGACTCGAAGTGTTCGTAACTCTGCCTGTAGATAATCTCCTTATTTGTGGGCAGAAGTTGTGTTAATTCCGTACGTCTCCATAAAATATTTCACCATCACCCGTCAAAGTATTAATAGTGGAGAAGTCAACGAATTTTTTCCCACCCCTTTAGGCGAATAGGGCATATAGGGCTATACTTATTTTTTAATAGAACAATCAACACAAAATGGGTTATGTGGTCAGCATCACGCCGGCCGCCTTTACTTCCTAGGACTTCACCCGGCACCCACTCAAGGCTGGATCGACCTGGGAGTCAAGGTCATTTTTGAAAAAGGTCTGGCTCCGCCAGGGAGCGAGCCCACGACCTTCTGATCCCCACACAAGCGTCCATCCGCTACGCCCCGGCGACTATTAGTAGTAATAGTAAAAAAAGAAAAAAAAAAACATTAAAAAAATCTTCTTCTTTTTCTTCTTCTTCTTCTTCTTCTTCTTCTTCTTCTTCTTCTTCTTCTTCTTCTTCTTCTTCTTCCTTTTTTTTCCTTCTTTTTCTTCTTCTTTTCTTCTTCTTCTTCTTCCTTTTTTTTCCTTCTTCTTCTTCTTCTTCTTCTTCTCTTCTTCTTCTTCTTCTTCTTCTTCTTCTTCTTCTTCTTCTTCTTCTTCTTCTTCTTCTTCTTATTATTTTTATTTTTATTATTATTATTATTATTATTATTCTTGTTCAGCATTTCGAACCCTTGAGGCTCATTGGTGCAGATATCACCCGCCTCTATCCATCTCTCTGGTTAGTGACACCAAATATTTGCATGTCTGTCTGGACATTATCTCTCCATTGTCTTCTTGGTCTGCCTCGTGGTCTACGACTACTCTAATCCCTTGTGTACACAGTTTTTACCTCTCTGTCACCTGACATTCTCTCAATATGCCCCAGCCATTTCAGCCTTTTACCTCTCCGTCACCTGACATCCATAATGGCTGGGCAAAAGTAAACAATGAGCCTGGAAGCGCCTGTGACGATAACAATAGGTTAACATCGGAGATTTGTGTATTCTAGGGACCCGGATTATTGTGCATACTGATAACACATGTATCTGTGGCAAGTTGCGGTTACCTGGGTTCTGAATATTTCCGAAAGAGATCCGGTCTGGTACTTTAAAAAAAAAAAATGCTCATGTCCTAAAAGGACTAGGATGGGCGTGTTTTATTAACTAATGGTAAATTATCTTGAGACTTTTTTTAAGTTACCGCCATATTTCTTGTCCTCTTCTTACATTTTTTCTTTTTTTTTTCTTTCTTTTTTTTCTTTCTTTCTGTATTTTGTCGCTAATCCACATAAAGAACTAATTTTCCCAATGTTAGGAGATCAGTAGATATCATAGATCTCCTCACTCGGGGAGGGGGAGGGGGTGTTATACTAGACATCCGTAAGCCAAACACAGAAGAAGAAGAAAAAAATCGAATCAAATCAAAAGGTATACCAAGTTTCACTCCACTGAAAACAAAAATTGGGTAGAACACACTAGCGAGCCAGTACAAAAACATGAATGATAGTCTAGATTAGACCGGGTAGGCCTTTAATGGAATATGCCTTAATTTCATGGCTAAATCAGCGAAAAAGAACTTGTGAAGCCTATAAGAGGTTCAAAATATCAGCTTACCAACAACTCATGGAGGATTGAGAAGCAGCCGCCGTAGACAGTACAGATTCCTTACTGTTTTTTGGAAAGGTTCAGATGCTCCCATAGCATTTGCTGAACCATAAATCATTTTCTTCTTCGCGTTTACCAGCTGAACACTCTGGCGGAAAGTTATTGTTGTTCGTCCACTTCTGGACTGCCCCAGAACCTGAGTGTTACGTGTGCATCAGCTTTAAAGATCTGATTCACCTAAATGCAGACTGTTGGTTCCTTGGTTCTCAGGCAGATACACTCCGACTTCAAACAAAGCCCCTAAATAGTCGACTCTTAAGACATGCTTTTGGGCAGACAGTGGGTGTATTCTGGTTTTCCCCACAGTGGTGCCCCGGAAACCACACGAGGAATTGACATAATGATATGTCAAGCTCTCACACCAGAACTATGGATTAACTGTCCAATTTTACCTGGTACAGTTCTGGAAGTCCTAGGAATAATCTTCAAAAAGAAACAGAGTCGGAATAAAGAGCTATTTCCCTTTATATACGCAGAAATCAGTACCCCTCCGATACTTAACATGTGTGTTTAGAGTCGGTTTTGGTAAAAAAAAAAAAAAAGTTACAAGAAGGTAGTCGAATTTACGTTACACACGGAGACTACAATACAAAACACACTCATTGTCAGCATGGGAAGCTTGCATCAACCTCAGAGCAAATGCAGCAATCACATTGTTTAGTTTAGTTTACATCAGTTTAGTTTATAGAACAAATGATCATCATCA